GAAACTATTAATTAAATTATTATTTTAATTAAGAAGATACTTTTTTGACACAAGGTAATAAAAAACTATGCTTTTTAATTTATAAATGTGTATTTAATAAATACATTTATCAAGTTAAAGTTGATTCAAAACTCAAATCAGTGAAACAACTTTTTTAAATCTACATTATTTCACTAAAGCAAAATGAGATTTAGATATTAGCACATACCTGAGTTGATGAAAGGGGGCTCGATATCTTGCCATTTTTGCGTCCAAAGCGCGTTTTATACTAGCTCTTCGTTGAATCTTCGCTTCTCCCCTTTCTATTTGTGCCATTATACGATCAATGTCGGTAAGTTCGTGACACCGTTCCCAAAATACGGCAGAATATTCCATCACTTCTTCAGGAGACTTTCCTTCCACTTCTTTCGCGATATTTTCGATATCGTCACGTCCATATTTCTCATTCGCCTTTATAAACTGATTAAAATCACGTTTCGTCCAATTAGTAAATCCCTGGGTAAGAAGACTTTCTTTTTCCTGTTGTTCTTCTTCAGTCAGCGGTTCAGATTCGTCAATCTTCCTTTGTTCCTCCTTCTGGTGTTTGCTGGCTTCTGGGCCAAGTTCTGGGTTTTTTGGCACCTTATAACCCAAAGTTTTTCTGTAATAGTATATTTCTTGGTCCAGAAGTTCGAACAGACGGGGAGGAAAAAATTGGAAGTCCTGAACGATGGGCTGCTTTGGAGGTCTGGGTGCTTTAGGAGCTTTAGGTTCTGATACTCGCAATGCCTCACGGAAATAAGCGTCAACGGCATAATTAGCTTTTCTTTCTCGTTTTGGGGGCTCGATCCAATTACCAATGCCAAGAGTTTTCTGTTTTTCACGGTAATCTTCACCTTCGAACTGATAGACGGATTCGGTGGGCGTGTCCACTGTGAAATTGCGTAAAGACGACTCACCAAGCTTCTCGTATTTTTTATTTAACTCTTCCGTCTGAAATGTTAAAACATTTAAATATTTATATTTTTTTATGGTGGTATAAGTTTTCTAACATGGATGATTTTAAAATTATTATTACGACTAAAATTTACCTTAGCTTCCCCTTTTTCTAAAATAACGTCAATATCTTCATCTGTGATTTCAGAGTCTTTAGACGCAAAGACGTGGTTGGCACCGTGCCTAATCATGTTCAACATTTCATCCTTATTCAAAGTACTAGATTTGGAATCAGTTAAACGACCCTGTTGGATAACTAATTTATCTAAACGTAACTTTATTTCTGCTCTTTCCACTATTTTCTCTTCCACAGTATTTTCTGTAATAAATCTGTAAAAAAATATTAAATAAGCTTTTGTGACACGACTATTCATTCTCTAAATTATAATTATAAAAAATTAAACTATTAAGAAAGTTACCTAAACACCCTAACTTGTTTCTTTTGCCCTATTCTGTGAGCCCTATCCATGGCTTGTAAATCCATCTGAGGATTCCAGTCTGAATCATAAATGATTACCACATCTGCAGTAGCCAAATTAATACCAAGACCACCAGCTCTTGTTGATAACATAAAAACGAATTTAGAACTGCCAGGTTCGTTGTATTCGTTGATCTGCCTTTGTCTGTCTTCATGGGGTGTTTGACCATCTAAACGACAATACTACAAATGCAAATATCGTTTAAATTCTAAATTTTTGATTAAACACGTAATAACAAAAATATTTTTTTTTTCTGTTTACCTGGTAACATCTCCACAAACAGTAGTCTTCCAAAATATCCAGCATCCTTGTCATTTGAGAAAAAATAAGCACTCTGGATCCTTGTTCTTGCAATCTAGGCAACAATTTATCCAAAATAACCATTTTACCACAATTATAAACCAAGTGCTCATCTGTAGTATAAGGTGGACCTGGTTCAGCTCCATCAAATAGGTATGGATGATTTGTACATTTTCTAAGCTGCATAAGGATATTTTGCAGTCTCATCTTTTCTATTTTTCCAGCACCGTTTACAACATCAATGTCCTTCATGAGAACCTTGGTATACCATTCTCTTTGCATCTTACTAAGTCCAATGTATACTTTCAGTTCTTTTTTTGGTTTCAGGCGTTTCTCTACCTCAGACTTTAAACGTCTTAATAGGAACGGTTTTAATACTGCGTGCAATCGCTCTATAAGCGCATTGTCTCCAAGACACTGGTTTGTATTAAACCATGCATCAAAATCGTCAGAAGAATTAAATACATCAGGCAGCAAGAAGTTAAGTAGTGACCACAATTCGTGAAGATTGTTTTGAAGTGGTGTACCAGTTAAAAGTAAGCGATTTGTAGTTTTAAATTCTCTTAAGATTTCTGATAGTTTTGATTTTTCATTTTTGATCCTATGAGCCTCATCAATAACCAGATAGCGCCAATTGAACTTTTTGAAAACAGACTTCTCCTTTATAACCATTTCGTAAGATGTCACACAAACATCCCATTCTCCTGGCATCATCACATCCCGAATGAAAGAATTCTGTTGAATGAAATATTTATAAACTTTGGAGTTAACAGCTCAGTATGTAGAGGAATGTAGCGGTATAAATAGAGGAGAGTTGTAAGACCACTACAAATTGATAAAAAATATAAAACACAATTAAAAATAACTTACTCTTGTTTCCTGATCTCCAATAAGACACACTGCTCTTAAGCTAGGGCACCATTTCTGGAACTCTGCCATCCAATTTGCTAGAGTTGATTTGGGTACAACAACAATATGAGGCCCTGGAATGCTCTTATAATGTTTCATAAATCCCAGCAATGATATAGTTTGTAGTGTTTTGCCCAAACCCATCTCATCTGCCAAAATGCCATTAATGCCATTTTCATACAATGAAATCATCCAATTTAAACCACGGATTTGATAGTCACGCATTTCACCATTTTTTATGTAATGAGGTGAACATTCAAAACGAACAGTTGGTTTAGTTTTAACATTTGTCTCTGCCAGTAACTCTTCATCTTCTTCTTGCTCTGTTTTTCGATGACGATGGCTATAAATAAATTAAAGGCACACTATCAACAACAAAAATAGACTTCAAAAATTTAACCTTAAACACATATCATCAAAAATACATAAACTACGTGATAAAAACGGGAAATAAAAAAGTATTACTTACTCCCCAGCTCCTGCAGGCTCTTCTTTGACCTTTTTTGGCCGACCTGTCTTCGGTTTTGCTGTTTTTGTAGGTTGGATCATAAAATGGGAAAATATTTCCGTTTGTTTAAGCAGATAATCAAACCTTTTTCCTCTATCCAATTCCAATTTTGTCTCAAAATCTTCGATTTTACCTCTACTCGAAAGAGTATCAGAGGAAGATGCATTCTGAAAGAAAATAATTTACTTGTAAAATCCCCCTTGCTTAACAATGGTAAATAGACCTAACAAAATTACAAAGATACTTAGTATTACTTACTGAATTTTCGCCTGTATCAGGCGTTTCTTCGGGTTTGGCAGTTTCCATGTTAATTTGTCAATCGTTTTAATTAAACTGTCCTCAAAAATTGTATTAAAATACCTTACATTACACAAAATTTCCACAACAAGATTGACAGTAACATGCCGCTACAGTATAGGCGGGAGAGGATTTAATGATAGGCTGTGTTCTGAAATTTACTTATTCAGAAGTTTATCAAAGTTTTAAAGTTAATTATAATAAACATACTGTTTCTGGAATTTATCATTAACTGTATTGCAATATAGCAATTTCCGTTCTTATTATACAATATTACATGTCATTAATTTGTATCTTCGTAATTTAACTATAAGAAAGTGAAGGTAATTGAAAGAATCTAAAATTGTGATCAAAATCTTATCTATGGCTATGGGAATAAGTGACATTAACGTTTTAACCATAGACAAGGTTTTAAACTTGTTTTAAATTGTTATAACCTATCTTTTTCATGTTCTTTAATGAACATTAAGTTTAGTAATAAGCCCAATTATAAATTATTATTATATTATAAATTAAATTTGTTATACTAATTAACCAAACAACACCTCTACAGCAAAGAAGTTATGTTGAAATAGAGGTAAAGTTAGACATAAAGCCTATACAGTTGAAGACAAACGAAAGAAATTAATTAACTGGCTGGTTTCCTAGGAAATTAAACCTGGATATTTTTTGAAACTAGTATTGATTGACAGTTCTTAAAAGTCGCAAAGTGATTAAAAGTTACATTTGAACCCATTTAAAGTTATTATGGCTACAGGAGGTGCTACTCGTAAAAAGAAAGATGGACCCAAATTCGAATTAAATGAACAGCAAAAGAATGATATAAAAGAAGCTTTTGACTTGTTTGACATTGAAGGAGTTGGAACCATTGATTCCAAAGAATTAAAAGTTGCAATTCGAGCTTTAGGATTTGAACCAAAGAAAGAAGAAATAAAAGCAATGATTGCTGAAGTTGATAAAGAAGGTACTGGAAAGTTGTCTTTTGACGATTTTTTGTATTTAATGTCGGTTAAAATGGCAGAGAAGGATTCTAAAGAAGAAATTATGAAAGCTTTTCGTTTGTTTGATGATGATGACACTGGTAGGATATTTAAATTATTGGGAAAACATTTGATTACTAACAACTACTTAATTATAGGAAAAATAAGTTTCAAGAATCTCAAACGAGTTGCTGCAGAACTTGGGGAAAATCTCACTGATGAAGAACTTCAGGAAATGATTGATGAAGCTGATAGGGATGGAGATGGTGAAATAAGCCAGGATGAATTTCTGCGCATCATGAAGAAAACCAGCTTGTACTAATGCCAAAGATAAATTTCATTATCATACTTTTTTAATAATACATTTTTCATTTTTCAGGCATACATGAAATACATTTCTGTAGTATTTGTGGTGTGTTTCAGGTTTAAACTCTGTTACTTTTAAGGACATTGAAACATATTACATAATAAAGGAGATTACATGAATAATGCTACTGGAAAAGTTTCATAAAATCTATAGTTCAGATTGTAATTCTTTCAGTAGTTTTATATGTGTAATTTCTTTCAAATGAAGTTCAAATATAAAGGTTTGAATATGAAGGCTGCGAATTTGTTTTGTGAATTTTGCTCTTCACAAAAAAAATTTTTTTATAGCAAGATCTTTTAGATGTAACATTGCTCTAGTCATTCCATTGTAATGTATCCTTTGTAAATATAATTATACTCATAAATAATAGTTGTTTAAAGTATTACTTGCACAATTTTATTAAATACATGTTTTAAGCACTAAAACAATATATGCATACTAGGCACAATTTCAATTTTCTTTAAGAAAGATTAATGTAATTACCATAATCCAAGTTAATATCATATGTTTTTGAGATTTGTTATATTTAAAATGCACTTCTTACTAAATAAAAGTTTTAATTGTATTTCAAATGTATTTATTTATCCATGTAGTTTAATTCGTTACAATTCAGATGTTATTCGCTAACAAATATGCTTAATTTAACAAACTAAAACGTCTTATTTGAGTAAAAACAAACTTATCATAGTTAAAATTGAACAAACCATAACATACCAATTTCAAATTGATCAAACAATTTGTATAAGTTAAAAATGAATATTGAAACCCCTTATGATTTAAAATTGACATTAAAAAAGAAACGTAGAAAATTACATTAATTTAAAAAGTCTTTAAGTACATATTTTGTACATTAGCATTTGGTTATACATATACCTACACTTAGATAAACACAAAAAGGAACTTAAAAATCTTAAGCTAAATATCAGTCTGACAAAATAAAATGTGTGTTGTTTTTTAATTTGAATTATTAAGTGTAGGATCCTGCTCTTTCACGCTTCCGTCTTGCATACCAAAATAAGCTTTTGTTGCCATTTTAATAAAGAGCCCAGTCTCAACCACTCCTGGTATCATTTTAATTTCTCTATTTATATCCTCCCATTTAAGATTATGCTTAAAATTTATCCAATCAAGTATGAAGTTTCCATTATCGGTAACCACTGGGCCAGCTTTAGCAATAGCCATTCGAAGTTCTAGTTTTCCTCCAAATCTTTTTTCAATCCTATTTTTAATAGGAACAAAAGCCATAGGTATAACTTCAATCGGTATCCCATTCTTATACTGTTCACCTAAATAACTTGAATTTTTTCTGTAGTCTGCTATGACGATAAATTGCTTGGAGCAACTAGCGATTATTTTCTCTTGTAAGAGACAACCTCCGCCTCCTTTAATTAAATTAAGATGACAGTCCACTTCATCTGCTCCATCAATGCAAACATCGATTTCAGGATGGTTTTCTAAATCACTCAAATGCATTTCATTTTCTACCTGAAAACGAGATTTGTTTGCTACAATTAATTGTTTAGCTTGGAACGAAGTAGGGATACAAATAATGTTCAAATTTTCATTCTGCACCCTTTCAGCTAATCTCTCAACAGCATAAACAACAGTCGAACCACTACCTATTCCAATTACATGTCTATTTTTAACATAAGTATCCACAGCTTTGTAGGCAGCAATTTTTTTCGCAGTTTCTACTGACATTATTGTACAATTTTTACTGACAAAACTTGAAATTTGCAGACTTGCTTTTCTTAAAAGCATAACCTAAAAATTTTCTTATGCTTTAAACTTGATATTAAAATATTTTAAAAATTACATAATAAAAGATTAACTTTTACGTAGTATGAACACATAGGTCAAGGTGATACTAAATAGTTTTGTGAAATCGAATATCAAACAAGGTATTTGCTACATAAGCTGATAATAGCCACTTGCTACATTGTTACAACTTGCCACAACTTTAATTACCCTTTGTGTATCTATTATCTATGTTACTGTCGTTTTTATTCTACAATAACAGCAAGGAACGAAGCACAAAGGTATTGTACATAAATTCACAACTATTTAAGTTTGCAAAATACTATTGTTTTATTCAGTAATTGATTATTAATAGAATAATTGTCTGGTATAGAAAAAGTGTTTGTACACTTAATACCCCTAATACGATGCGATTATGTACATTTCTCAATTTTAACTACAATGAAGAATAATTAAGAATAATAAATACGGACATCTTTAAACGGATTTACGGTTTGCCATTTCATAACTTTAAACTGTAAATGTATTCATTTTGTTTTTAATTAGGTGGCATTTTGTTTATTTTCAAATTTAAATGTTAGCGCCATTGTTCTGATATAGTTAGAAGCTTTTCCTAGAGATGGCGAAACATATTCCATTTCTTATAAAAATTTCAAATGTAATGAAAGTGAATTAATAAAAATGAATATTCATTAATGTTACCTGCGTACATAATTTTTAAAAATTTGCATAGAGCGATATATTCCTATTATATTTAAGAATTATTTCATAATAAAAATGAAAATGGAATTTAATTTTTATGTTATGTTCAACATTCTTTTACCAATATACTGTAATAACAATTATGCAGGGTGATTCGTCTAACTTGTTCATTAAAAGTTAATGGATTCCCCTTTCAAATATTTAATTGAAAATTTAGAATCAAGGGTTTTAGATAAAGTTCAATTAAAACAGCTATCTCTATTTTCGCATTCTTGAAACTTCCGGAAGAAGCTATCAACATTCTCATCTGAAACAAAAGATCTCATATGTTTTAACATTTTTGAAATCTGTGCTAAAATCTACTTTCTTTGATATGGCACATTCTATATGACATATTTTAATTTTTTTGAAAACATTTGGTTTTGTTGTATCTTATTGAAATGTTTGTCATTGATTAAGAAATACGTGTTTTGAATTTCATGGACTATAACATCTTTAAAATCAATTTCTTTAAATGAAACAGTCTGTTCTATCTGAGGAAAAAGCAAGTTGTCTTCAATCCTACACATCTGTTTGTTTTATTTAATCTCTATATCCAAGTAATTCGTGAAAATTGAAAATTATGTATCGAAATGATATCAAGTAAATGATAACTTGCTTCATCAGTACTTCAAGTACATGGATTCTATTTAAAAAAGTGATTTATAAGAAGTAAAAGTCAACTGCATTTTTGGGCACCTTGTAAATAATAAAATGTCTAGTTATACATCTATCGAATACTTGATAGTTCTCCTAGCTATAGCTCAAAATGGGTAACCATAACTGTTCTTCTCAATNCTTCAGTTTTATACTTTTTATATGGTGGTTTTCATATTTCAATACTTTTTAAATATAAATTTAACAACATTTTGTTGTCATAAATGAAATAAATTAAATAGATACTTACAGTAAAACAGCAACACCAAGATCAAGTTTGCAGACCAATTTCGAGCAACACACTAAAAAACGGAAATGCGATACCGAAACGCGCACTAACGAAATTTTTACTTTAAAAAAATGATTATTTACATTAAATTAAAAATGCAATGTTGTAAACTGCTCTAAGTGACGAAACCACGAGTATTTCTTTGGTACATAAAATACTTAGTTTCGCGCATACGCAATAGCGTCGCTTCGGCTTTGCACCACAAGTAACGCTTGCTTTGAATAACAATCTATTTACGGTTTATTAGACCGACTTTTGAACTACAACATTAAAAACACTTGTATGAACATAATGCACACCCTTAAGTCTTTTTTGTACATTTTTATTCACTATTTTCCGCAATTACTAGTTGTGCGTCTCTAGTTCGGCGTAACTCTTCACGTTCTGGCTTCGTGCTGTAGCCTGTAGTTGTCACCTGATCACAACTCTTGCAAAGCCAACTTAGATCATATAAGAAACGATTAAAGTATGAAACTTAAACGCATTTGTTTTTTGACAAGTTAACTTTTTAGAGCAATCTTTATCTTCGTCCATCTGTCTATATGTCACAATTAATTATCTTAACAACCACCACTTCTACCTATTTGAAATTTGTCAGTTTATAATATACATTCTCGTATCAGGTGAAAACATTAAAAAACTATTTTTAATTTCACTGTTAAAAGGAACGACAACCAAAAAGGGTGTAGAGAAAGTACCACAATGAGTTTTCCATTTTTAATAATTCAAATTTAATTTTACCAATAATGGGATTCAATACAAGAATTTTATTTTCTTCGACGTTCTTGTACTGAATTGTTGTGGGTTATTGGCAAAATTAAATTTTATCATAATAATTGAATTTGTATTACACCGACAAGATTAATTCACTGAAGAATTTTTTATTTCAAACCACATACAACTTCTTGATTTACGATGGGAAAGTTAACAATGTTTGTAATAATTTACGCAAATATTTTTAATTATATGTTAAAAAATGAAGATACCTATGACATAGATTTGAAGGAAAAACATACAAACTGTTAATTTTTGTTCTTGAGGCAGAATAGAATTGCAATGTTTATTAATCATATGTATGCCACAAATTCACTTTATTTAATCATTTTCGTCATAAAAGCTATTTAGTTGGATACCCAAAACAAGGAATTTTAAAAATTAAACTAAAAAATTGTCAAAATGTATTACAAATAAGACGTTTATTAAATAAGGTACATCATTCTTAAAAGTATGTGTACTACAAAAACTGGGACAATACAAAATGCACGTACATACTAAATAAGTTGAGAATCACGAAATGCCCTTTGATACCAGAGACAAAGAATTCTATAAAATTCGTTAACTAAACGCAGGAAAATTTCACTTCTTCTTTTTCTTTTTCTCAGTACCTGAGACATTTGAATTGTCATTTTTTCGTTTTTGAGCTGCCTTTGTCGAACTCTGATTGGGAATTCCCGTAACATTGTTAGATTTTGGATTTTTCTTTTTCCTTTCAGCTTTTTCCTTTTCTTCCAACTCCTGGTTTTCCCTTTCTATCAGTGTAATTAATGTGTTACATCTCCTCTGCAGTTCCATTGCAGTACGAGACTTCAAAAACCAATCGAATCTAAACTGAGGCGATGCTCTTACAGCTGCTCTTAGTTCTTCGTAAACGTTTTCACGATCGAATCCAAGTTTATGTAACATACAAACCAAAAATCTATCTTCCTCCTCCATATAATTTTTACCTTTGTTTGTACCATATGCAATCCTGACAACAGATAGAAAAATATTACTTGGAAACTATTAATTAAATTATTATTTTAATTAAGAAGATACTTTTTTGACACAAGGTAATAAAAAACTATGCTTTTTAATTTATAAATGTGTATTTAATAAATACATTTATCAAGTTAAAGTTGATTCAAAACTCAAATCAGTGAAACAACTTTTTTAAATCTACATTATTTCACTAAAGCAAAATGAGATTTAGATATTAGCACATACCTGAGTTGATGAAAGGGGGCTCGATATCTTGCCATTTTTGCGTCCAAAGCGCGTTTTATACTAGCTCTTCGTTGAATCTTCGCTTCTCCCCTTTCTATTTGTGCCATTATACGATCAATGTCGGTAAGTTCGTGACACCGTTCCCAAAATACGGCAGAATATTCCATCACTTCTTCAGGAGACTTTCCTTCCACTTCTTTCGCGATATTTTCGATATCGTCACGTCCATATTTCTCATTCGCCTTTATAAACTGATTAAAATCACGTTTCGTCCAATTAGTAAATCCCTGGGTAAGAAGACTTTCTTTTTCCTGTTGTTCTTCTTCAGTCAGCGGTTCAGATTCGTCAATCTTCCTTTGTTCCTCCTTCTGGTGTTTGCTGGCTTCTGGGCCAAGTTCTGGGTTTTTTGGCACCTTATAACCCAAAGTTTTTCTGTAATAGTATATTTCTTGGTCCAGAAGTTCGAACAGACGGGGAGGAAAAAATTGGAAGTCCTGAACGATGGGCTGCTTTGGAGGTCTGGGTGCTTTAGGAGCTTTAGGTTCTGATACTCGCAATGCCTCACGGAAATAAGCGTCAACGGCATAATTAGCTTTTCTTTCTCGTTTTGGGGGCTCGATCCAATTACCAATGCCAAGAGTTTTCTGTTTTTCACGGTAATCTTCACCTTCGAACTGATAGACGGATTCGGTGGGCGTGTCCACTGTGAAATTGCGTAAAGACGACTCACCAAGCTTCTCGTATTTTTTATTTAACTCTTCCGTCTGAAATGTTAAAACATTTAAATATTTATATTTTTTTATGGTGGTATAAGTTTTCTAACATGGATGATTTTAAAATTATTATTACGACTAAAATTTACCTTAGCTTCCCCTTTTTCTAAAATAACGTCAATATCTTCATCTGTGATTTCAGAGTCTTTAGACGCAAAGACGTGGTTGGCACCGTGCCTAATCATGTTCAACATTTCATCCTTATTCAAAGTACTAGATTTGGAATCAGTTAAACGACCCTGTTGGATAACTAATTTATCTAAACGTAACTTTATTTCTGCTCTTTCCACTATTTTCTCTTCCACAGTATTTTCTGTAATAAATCTGTAAAAAAATATTAAATAAGCTTTTGTGACACGACTATTCATTCTCTAAATTATAATTATAAAAAATTAAAC